CAGCCTTCCGCTTCTGTTTCCGACTGGTGTTTCCTTTTTCCGACTGACTCGGCTTGTGCTTGCCGCTTCGGAGTCGGTCTTCTTCTTCGCCGTTGGCGTACTTGGTAGCAATCTCCATCATCCGACTCAAGGTCATGTCACCGGTTCGACCAAATTTCAAACTCAGTTCTCTGTTCTTGACGCCGTCTTTGAAGGCGCATACTGCCTGATGATCAGAGACATTTTCCACAGTGTGGTGCAAAGTGATCCACCTCTGAATATACTCTCTGAGAGTCTCATTAGTTTTCTGCACACAGACTTGCAACTCTGTCAATCCCGCTGGTCGCTTGCAAGTCCCTTCAAACGTTCTGACGAACACTCGGGACAGATCTTCCCAAGTGTAAATGCTGCTAGGAGGTAATTGAGTCAACCATGCCCTGGCAGAACCTTCCAACATGAGGGGCAAATGCTTCATGGCCACCTCGTCGTTCCCACCACCGATCTGAACTGCCACTCGGTAGTCTTCAAGCCAAGTTTCAGGCTTAGACTCACCAGTGAACTTGCTGACTCCTGTTGCCAACCTGAAATTGGCGGGGATAACTGCGGCTCTGATAGCTCTGCTGAAACATTCAGGACCAGAAACATGTACTCGACTGCTCGTGGGTACATCTCTGTCGAGTGCGCCTCGATGGGCTCTGTTCCGGTCGACCAACCCTTGCACGATAATGGATCGCGCGTCGAAGCCTGGCTCTCTGGGGTCAACTGGAACCCTACGCCCTGTACTGTACTGACGCCTATCATCTGGCTGCCGAGGAGCGTAAGACCCACCCCTCGGAGGGGAATAGGACACTCGACGCCTATCATCTCGGTCGAGTCTGTCGCCATATTGATCTCGCCGATTCTCACGCCTTTCGCACCGCGGAGGCGATCTGGGGCTGTGAGCCGACTGAACCGTATTCACAGTGACAGATCGACTGTGAATTCTGTTGCGCGACTGAGACACGGCTGAATTCTGATCTCCTGCTGCCCGGAGCAGATCCCTGATCTGCAGCAAACCTCTGCCAGCTTCCGACTGCGAAGGCTGAATGGACTCTGCTATACGGGTCGCAGCTGCTAAATTCTGAATTGGGGTTCGATATACCTGAGTCGGCGGGAAGAGTTGACGTCGACTGGTGTCGGGAACTCGTTGCCGCGCGCGCTCGTCGAGTGCTCGCTGAAGGTTCTCCAGTCGAGTGCGCTCGGCCAAATTGGCCAGACGCGCCTCCTCCAAGGCACGAGCCTCGGGGGTTTCTCCTGCGATGGGAATACGCAGAGGATCCTCGTTCCTGCGGCGAAGCTCTTCTCTTTGCAGAGAGTCGAGTGGCTCGGGCTGGTACTCTTCGTAGTCTCGTGCAGGGTCGCCGCCGTCACCTGCTCCACCACCACGGGCGAAGCCTGGAGGGCTGTGGGGCCCGTCGACCATCAAGATTTCCGCCGCTGGATCACTGCTTCCGCACTCGGATGCAGTCTCTCCGGAGCCAGTCGACTGATCGAACAAGCCGTAGAGAGATTCGTTGGGCTCGATTGCCGCAACTTGTGTAGTGGCCGATTGGCGAGCCATCGCGTGACTCACCCATCGCTGAAGCCTCGACCGGCCTGAGCGCTTGCGCTGGCGGGAGACCGGGAGGGTGGACGATGGAGGAGCCGACCGATACTGGGTCGACGGTTGCCGCAGCAGAACGCCGCGGACACATGCGCGAAAATGCGTCGCACCGCGGACGGGGAGCGCGTCTACGTCGAGTGGAGCCTCCTGGAGCCATGCGGAGTCGTCGGCAATGAAGGTGAGAGTGCCGAGACGGATCTCTTGACCCTTGACCAAAACTCCAGCAGACACCATGATGAGAGTACTCGGAAGAATCGCAACTTCTCCACAAAATCGCTAAAACACCTGCCCCACGGTGGGCGCCAACTGTCGTGGTTCTAAGCCTGACAGTAGAGTGGGGGGTAGGTATGGAGAGGCAAGGTCCTAGCTATGGAGAGGTTGTAAGCACAAAGGATGTACGAGTTCAGGCCCTTCTCGGAAGAAGTAACAGCCCTACGTCTCGGAGCCCGGAGGCGGTCGAGTGGTTTATGAATGTATGAATTACAAGGTGCCGAACCCCTCTGCCTGTGGAGGAGGGTGGCTTATATAGAGTGCGCCAGGACCCTAGCCAGCCCATGCAGGAGAGGGTTTAAGGTGAGTTAAGTCTGGGGCGTTACTGGTAACGCCCCACATAAAGTGACTTTACTATCATAAAGTCTACTTGATTACAGGCCGTTGCAGTGCAGAGTGCCTCTTGACCTCCTGGTGGTCGAGTGAGTCTTCGTGGTCGAGTCCTTCAGGCCAGTCGAGTGAATCCTCGTTGGTCGACTGGAAGGCGACCTCTTCTAAGGATGTCCTAGGGTAAGTTACTTGGATCAGGTCCATGATCCTACCCTAGGTACACAACCCCATCACCAAGCGCGTCACCATCATGCCCAAGGACATCCAGCTCGCCCGCCGCATCCGCGGGGAGCGCGCCTAGGTTTTCGGTCGCCGCCGGTGACAATACTGGGTAGAAGCTTTTCATGTGCTCTGATCTGGTTCATGTGTTGGTGGTGTTGATATGATGTGTCGTCTTGTCCTATGTAGCCTGATGCTGGAATGAAATGCAAATGAGAAGTTCAGTTATCATCTGGTGCTAATTTTGTCCTCTGTTTGCTGCTTAGTACCTTTGTGATTTTGCTACGGTGTTTTTCTCGGATCTACCGTGGTGCTGCAGTGACGGGGTCGAACAATGCCAATTGGTTTCATTATTTTGCCACCGTCCTGTTATTTTTGATTGGTGGCCATGTGATTCAGTGTTTTTGCCTGTTGTTTGTTCAGGGATCTGATGAACTCTTCGATTGGGCTTCCAGCTATTCTCGAAGTGATTCTGAATTTTGTTTTGGGCTGGTTGATGTTGATAAGCTGACCGTGAAGATGTGACAGCGGTTAGTTCTCTGTACACCTGATTGCCACTTCATTCAAATTTATGATAACCATCACAGATTTGCTCAATATTTGTGAGCGAAAGCTGAACAGCTTGTACGCTTACACCCTGTCTATAATGTCTAAACACTTGTGCTTGCTGTGCAATTGAGATGCCAGGCAGTGTGTTATCTTCTAAACACTGGTGTTCTCTTTGCCAATTAAGATGCAGTGCAATTCAATCTGGTGGTATGGTACCTGGTCTTGTGAAGCATCTGAAACTGAAAATCCATCAGCGACCATCATCCGTGTGTGGCTGCAGAGGCATTGTATCAGGCAAATGTAGGACATCTTCGCCTCACCTTGCAAGCAAGAAGTACTACTTGACTATTTGCAGTACTAATTAACAGTCCATCTTCTACCTGGTTAGAAGCCAAGAAAAGGAGCACTTCCAGGCAGGAAGAGAAGGAGAAGAAAGGGATTCCTTTTTTTTAGAAAAGGGGGACATCCCCGGCCTCTGCATCGGAAAGATGCATACGGCCACCAAGAAAGGGATTCCTGCTCTGCTGTAACCATTGCCAGGCAAATGCGGCACTGAGCAGGAGCAAATCTCCTCGGATATCACAAGGTGAAGGCCTTTTCTCTGATACAAATGAGCTTTTCCTTATATATTATACAAATGAGCTTCAAATGTTGTGTTAACCCGGAGCCGCATTTACAGAGTTGTGTTTCCTTGTGGCGACTTCTTGCAGGTCTAACATGCACAATTCAAGCTCAGGTGGGTGAAGATCATTTGTGTGTGGCTGCAGAGGGTGCTATACTATCAGGTAAATTTGGGACACCTTGCAAGCAGCACTCACTAGTCAATTTGCAAGACCAATTGACAGTGTCCATCTTCTACCCGTGAGAAGCCAAGAACAGGGATTCCTGCTGTTATGAAACCGTCGTTGTGGCGCCGAGCAGGAGCATATTTCCTTGGATTTCACCAAGGTGACGGCCTCTTCTCTGATACATGAGCTTTAACTTTTCTGCTGTCTGCTGTGCGTAACGCTTTTTTGTGCTAGCAGTACGTATATGGTATCCTTAAAAAAAATTAGAGATTCTGTGGACAATCATCTCTTTTTTAGTTCAGTCATCTATTGAGAGTTTTCAGAAACAACCGCCTGTTCATAACTTTACTAACAGTGCATGGATTTCAGTCCTGGGTATAGGTATTGGTTAGTGTAATCAACAGAAGTTGAAAATATTTACTCTCAGTACTACCCATCTTTCCCTTTGCTATATTTGCAATGATGGCTTACAGGTTGCTATGACTTGTTAGTGAGCTATTACAGCTTATTTTGCTGATCCTATACGAGGGCAATAGTGAACCGATTTAGCTTCAGATGTGTGAAAATTGCAATGGGGAAGAGTTTACGTACAACTTTTTTGCACACTAATTCACTTCAAATGTGTGAAAATTAAAGACCGATGCCCAGCACCTCCTGCAGAACAATACTTCTAATGGAATTTATAACTGGATAATCAAGCTCTTGGCACCGTACAAGAGACTCACTACTTTCATTCTACACATCAAGGGCCATGTTGCAGTTATTGGAGCCAGTTTCATGTATATATATACCAAACAAAACAAGAAAAAACAACAGCAACAATACAACTCAGAACAGAGCATTCAGCTCTGCACGTACTGGTCAATTCCATGGGGGATGATTGCATCAGATTCCATGTAAACAGGCGTAATTCCTGTCTGATCTTCACACACATGTATTGGCAAACCTTTTCTTGACGGGAGTGTATGGGCAAGTCTACTTCCTTAAATTTTGATGAACTCTGCTGAATAGTCCGGCCCGCGCACATTCCAATCAGCAGTGAAGTATAAGAGCTGGAGTGCTAAGTGCTAACATGGACCTGCAGAACAGAACTTTTGCGAACCGGATATCACCACGCGGGCAAGCAGCACTAGCACCAGGACTTGCCTGATACAAATGCTCCAACCTAGCTAGTTCTGTCTGAAAGAGAAATGGACTCCTAGAAATGGTCACCTTACACACGTCTACGTAGATTGGTACCAAATTCTCTGCAAAATCTGCAATATACCCAATTCCATCGCCCAACAGAGACAACCCCCAATATTGCTCCTCAACACCTTGTTCCAGAACCAGGGATTTGGATGAGCTTTCAGCACCCCACCGACAATTTTCGCTCCGAAGAAGGACCCATTTAACTTCCTTGCAATTGCCTTGCCCGCTGCTGGCATCCTCGGGTCCTCCTCGACATCTCTGCCAGCAAACGCATGTGCCTTGAAGAAGAACCAGTACTCCTGATGCGGCATAACCTTCAAATTGACCGGCTGCACTGTTCCCATGCTCGCCGCGACAGTCTTGCTGTTTGTGGTGACTATGATCCTGCTTCCACGTTTGCCATGTCTTAAGATCGGCAGTAACTCTTCTAGCGTCTGTTGTTTGCCCGTGTCAACATCTTCAAATACCAATAAAAACCTCTTGGTGAGGTATTTCTCCTCGAGTACATGCAGTGACTCGATGAATTTTTTAGCATCTCTAACTGCGTGTTTGGATCCTAGAACAAACGGTGCCTCACCCCATGCCATTGCCCTGGTGTATGAGAAATTGGAATACAAAATTATTGGAAAGTGTTGGCGCACCCTCTCATCATCGCAGACATGCTGCACAAGGGTGGTCTTCCCGACTCCCATGTCGCCGACACTGGGAAGCACACCCAATTTCTCCCCAGTTAACGGACCACCATCGTGCACCAAGAAGGTGATTATCCTCTCTTTCTCAACATATCGGCCGAACATCTGCCCCTCGATGAAGATATTGGTAGGCAAAGGACGATGCATGGGCTGGCAATTTTGTATGAGCATCATGAACTCTTTGAGATCACTGGATACGGTTTCCAAGATCTCTACCACTCTATCTATCTCCTCACCAACACCAATATCATGGCGAGACAATAGGCTCTTCATGGCACACGCTGCTATGCGCACACGCTTTGCAGGATTAAACAAGGAGAAAGAGAAACGTTGTTCAACTACCTTGTCAGCTTGCTCATCTTCAAGCTCCTGCTCTCTGCATCCGACTGTGTCGAGCAAGTAGCGGCCATGGTACATGCCGTTGTTGAGCTCCGAAAGCCACTCGAGGGTGCCATAGTTTGTTATATGCCTTCCTTTGGCCTCCTCTACTGCACTATGGACCTTGACGAGCATGTGGCAGATCCTTCGTAGCTTGGCCTCGGTGCGCCCTTGGCCTTTGAACTGGCCAGCAATAAGAGATATCGCCCTGCCGACCATGTCTCCGACAACCGCCGAGAAGATGACCTCTGCCATGATAAATTCCTCTAGCAACTGTCTGAATGTGATGTTCGCAAGTTACCTGGTACCCCAACCTTTCTAACAACTATAAGTTTCTGAATGAAACCAGAAGTCAAGGTGAGCACCAATGGTTTGTGTGGTAGAGTTATATGAATATTGCCACGAGAGTGACATGAAAGACTTCAGTGCTTTGACTCTATATTGCACTACAAGTCTACAATGCGTGTTTTCCTTCTATGAAAGGGACTGCCGTTCTAGATTGCACCACCAGTTATACTATTTTAAGTGTCATGCCAACATGATAGAACAAAAAATAACAGGGATAATTTTCTGTTGGCTATTATTTATTGGTTGTATGGTACTAGATACGAAAATATATTCTGAGTTTGCCTGATGACTAATGCAGTGAACGACTAGTCCTTGTCTTAGACCATCAACATCCTTAGAAGGCAAGGATGTGCTACCTGTCTATTGTTACCATAGCGTAATCACTGATGCTCGCAGACCTGTCTATTGTTGCCATAGCCTAACCATTGGCGCTTGCAGTGCATTTGACCTGTCAATTGTGTGGTCATCTTCCATAGCCACATTTGCAGAATTGGGTTTCCTTGCGATGATTTCTTACATGTTTAACAGTTAGAGTACAATTCAAGCTCAGGTGGTGTGGCATCTGGTATTGTGAAGTGTCTGAAAGTGAAAACCCATCAGTGAAGACCGTCTGTGTGCTGCTGCAGCAAGTGCTCTTATTTCAGGTAAATTTAGGACAACCTCATCCTTGACAATTTGCATAATTGACAGTCCATCTCTACCTGTGGGAAGCCAGATGGGAAGAGCCTCCAGGCTGGAAGAGGAGGAGATGAGAGGGGCTCCTGCTCCGCTGAAACCATCGCCTGGCGAATGCGGCACCGAGCAGGAGCATATTTCCATAGATATCACCAAGGCGAATGCCTCTTTTTTGAGAAACCTCATGTGAGGGCAGGGGGTTTCTGCGTTTCATTAAGAAGAAGAGAGTTTGTCCAGTTTATAAGGAAAACCGGACCCAAAAACCTAACATTCTTGATTAATCAGGTACCTAAACCCAAAACCATATGCGCCTAGAATACTCGGTGAGTGGATGGCAGGACCCGGCCAATCCTGAGAGAAGGTTGTCTAGAAAGTACTAGAAACAACCTAATCAATCTGCCGGCAAAGCTCACAATGGAACTTCCAACCCGATTTTCATGATTAGTTCCCAGGTGTTCTCCCGCAGAACACTAGTCTGGATAATCAAGCTCCTGTCACAGCTCAGGGAACCGCATAAGAGACTCGCTACTTTTCATTCCACACATCAAGGGCCAGGTTACAGTTATCCGAGCTAGCTTCATGTACATACCGGGGAGGCAACACAAGCAAGCTAAGAATACAGAAATAAACAAGAACTAGTACAATGCAACTCAAAACAGAGTATTCTACAATTTGTCAATTCCATGTAAATAGGCATAATTCCTGTCTGATCTTCACACACATATATTACTGATATTAGGAAATCTTTTCTTGAGGGGAGTAAGATGGGCAAATCTACTTCTTTCGAGTTTGATGCACTCTGGTGAATAGTTCGGCCCGCGGACACTGCAATGAGCAGTGTAGTACAATACTTGGAATGGCAGCACTGACCGGCACAACAAGACTTTTGCAAACCCGTTATCACCACGCGGGGCAACAACACTAGCGCTAGGACTTGCCTGATATACCAACCTGGCCAGTTCTGTCTGAGAGGGATATGGAACCTTAGAAATGGTCACCTTAGACATGTCTGCGTCGATCGGTAGCAAATTCTCTGTCAAATCTGAAATGTACTCAATTCCATCACCCAACAGAGATAACCCCCCTATATTGCTTCTCAGCACCTTGCGCCAGAACCGAGGATTCGGATGAGCCTTCAGCACCCCGCCGATGATTTTCGCTCCGAAGAAGGACCCGTTTAACTTCCTTGCAATCGCTTTGCCTTCTGCTAGCATCCTTGGGTCCTCCTCTACATCTCTGCCGGCAAACGCGTGCGCTTTGAAGAAGAACCAGTACTCCTGGTGCGGCATGACCTTCAGACTGATCGGCCGCACCGTTCCCATGCTCGCCGCGATGGCCCTGCTGTTTGTGGTGATTATGATCCTGCTTCCATGTTTTCCATGTCTTAAGATCAGCAGTATCTCTTCTAGCATCTGCTTCTTGTCCGCGTCAACATCTTCAAATACCATCAAGAACCTCTTGGTGAAGTATTTCTGCTTGAGTACATGCAGTGACTCGATGAATTCTTTAGCATCTTTAACTGTGTGTCTGGATCCTAGAACTAACGCTGCCTCACCCCTTGCCATTGCCCTGGTGTATGAGAGATTGGAATATAAGATTATTGGAAAGTGGCTGCGCACCCTCTTATCATCGCAGACATGCTGCGCAAGGGTGGTCTTCCCGACTCCTATGTCGCCGACGATGGGAAGCACACCCACTTTTTCTTCAGTTGACGAACCACCATCGTGCAGCAGGAAGTTGATGATCCTCTCTTTGTCGATGTGTCTGCCGAACATCTGCCCCTCGACAAAGATATTAGTAGCCAAAGGACGATGGATGGGCTGGCAGTTGTGTAGGAGCATCATGAACTCCTTGAGATCAGTAGATACGGTTTCCAAGATCTCTACCACTCTATCTATGTCCTCACCAACACCAACATCATGGCCAGACAATAGGCTCTTCATGGCGCCGGCTGCTATGCGCACACGCTTTGCAGGATTAAACAAGGAGAAAGAGAAAGGTTGTGCAACTACCTTGTCAGCATGCTCATTGTCAAGCTCCTGCTCTCTGCATCGGACCGTGTTGAGCAAGTAGCGGCCCTGGTACACACCGTCGTTGAGCTCCGAGAGCCACTCGAGGGTGCCGCAGTTTGTGATCTGCCTCCCTTTGGCCTCCTCTACTGCACTGTGAACCTTGACAAGCATATGGCAAATCCTCCGTAGCTTGGCGTCTGTGCACCCTTGGCCCTTGAACTGGCCGGCAAGAAGAGATATCACCCTGCCGACCATGTCCCCGACAACCGCCGAGAAGATGACCTCCGCCATGATAAATTCCTCTAGCAACTTTGTGATGTCAGCAAGTTATCTGGTACCCCAGCCTTTCTATCAATTCCAACTTTCTGAATGAAACCATAAGTCAAGGTGAGCACCAATGGTTTGTGTGGTGGAGACATATAAATATTAGCATGAGAGCGACATGGAAGACTTCAGTGCTTTGACTCCATATTGCACTGCAAGTCTACAGCACGTGTTTTCCTTCTATGGAAGAAACTGTCGTTTTAGATTGCACAACAAGTTATTGTGGTTATATTTTAAGTGTCACACTGACTCCGTAGAGCAAAAAGCAACAGAGTAATTTTCTGTTGGCCATTACTTATTGGTTGTACAGTACTAAATATGAAAAATATATTCTGAGGTTGTCTGATGACTAATGCTGTGAACGCCTAGCCCTTGTCTTAGACCATCAACATCCCTAGAAGCCAAGGAGGTACTGCAGTGCAGTTGCCATAGCCTAATCACTGGTGCTTGCAGTGCAGCTGACCTGACAATTGTGTGGTCATCTTCCATAGCCACATTTGCGGAATTGCGTTTCCATGTGATTTCTTACATGTTTAACACGTAGAGTACAATTCAGGCTCAGGTGGTGTGGCATCTTGTCTTCTAAAGTATCTGAAATTGAAAATCCATCAGTGAAGACCGTCTGTGTGCTGCTGCACAAGTGTTCTTATTTCAGGTAAATTTAGGACACCCTCATCCTTGACAATTTGCAAGACCAATTGACAGTCCATCTTCTGCCTGTGGGAAGCCAGAACGGGAAGAGCTTCCAGGCAGGAAGAGGAGGAGATGAGAGAAGAGGAGGAGCATATTTCCTCGGATATCACCAAGGTGAATGCCTCTTCTTAGATACATATGAGCTTTGCCTTGTCTGATGTGCAATGAGTGTTTCTCTTTTTTCCGATAAAGGCAACAAGTGTTTCTATGCGCTAGCAGTTACTCCCTCCGTTCCTAAATATAAGTATTTTTAGAGATTCCAATATGGACTACATACAGAGCAAAATGAGAGAATTTACACTCTAAAATGCGTCTACATACATCCGTATGTAGTCCATATTGAAATCTCTAAAAATACTTAAATTTAGAAACAGAGGGAGTATATTATAGAGATATATGGTGGACAATCAGCTCTGTTTCAGTTCAGGCATCTATGGGAGTTTGCAGAAACCTTTTACCATTCATAACTTTACTACCAGTGCATGGATTTGGGTCCCGGGTATAGGTATCGCTAGTCTAATCAACAGAAAGTTGAAAAATGTTTTTTTTTCTCTTAGCATTATCCATCTTTCCCTTGCCATATTTTGCAACGATGGCTTACATGTTGCTATGACTTGTTAGTGATGGCATATTCTGCTAGTGCTGTTACAGCTTATTGTGCTGATCATATATGGGAGCATAGTCGACAGGTTTAGCTTCAACCAACTTAGTTTGTTGATTTTGCAATGTCTGTACATCTCTTCAAATGTGTGAAAAGTTAAAGACAAATGCCCAAACACTTTATATGGTCGATTATTATCCTTACAGGTACCAAAAATGGAAGGATTTTGTTTTGAGAGGTAGTCCTTCCGGAGCATGCACATCTAGAAGCCAAGGAGGCGCTACCTGTCTACTGTATATTGGAGCTTCCACATCCATGGCCTAATCACTAGTGCTTGCAGTACAATTGACATGTCCATAATGCGGTGTCATGTACTCGTCTTCCGTAGCCACTTATGCCGATTTTTTTTCTTGCAGTTACTTACAGGATTAACACGTGCAGTACATACAATTCAAGCTCAGGTGGTGTGGCATCTGGTGTTGTGACATATCTAAAATTGAAAATCCATCGGTGAAGATCATCCGTGTGTGGCTGCAGAGCGTGCTATTCTATCAGGTAAATTTAGGACACATGAACCTTAAAATTTCTCAAGACTAATTGACAGCCCATCTTCTAACACTGAGAAGCCCAAAACAGAGAGCTTCCAGTTCCAGGCAGGAAGAGGAAGAGAGGAAAAGGACTCCTACTCCACTGAAACCATCGCCGGGTGAAATGCGTCACCGAGCAGGACAGGAGCGTATTTCCTCAGATGTCACCAAGGTGAAGGCCTCTTCTCTGATTCATATGACCTTTGTCTTGTATGCTGTGCAACAAGTGCTTCTTTACACTAGCTGTTCTTGTCTGCAAGAGTTCTATAGAGTAATAGAGATTTTCAGGCATCTATGAGATTTTCGGAAACCATTGCCTGTTCATACTTTACTAGTTCTAGTGCATGTATTTTTGGTACCGGGTATGGTATTGGCTAATCTACTCAACAGAACTTGAAAATATTTTTTCTCAATATTATCCAACTTTCCTTCGCTATATTTTGCAATGATGGCTTGCATTTTTTTAAATCTACACTAGGTTGCTATGACTTATTGTGCTAGTGATAGCATATTCTGCTAGTGCTGTTACAACTTATCGTGCTGATCCTATATGAGAGCAATGGTGGACCGATTTAGCTTCAACCAACTCTGTTGATGTTGAAATGGAAAAATAGTTAATGCCCGGCACCTCCGCAGCACGACCACGTCTCCAGGGCTGCCCGGGTCAACATATCCCCACCTATATACGCCTAGAAGATTTGGCAAGTGGATTGCAGGACCCCTATGATCCCAAGGGAGGGGTCGCCTATGGAGTACCGGTAATCAAGTTAGTAATGGAACTTCTAACCAGATCTTCATGGTTAACTCGCAAATTTTCTCCCACAGAGCGATACTCTTAATGGGAATTTCTAACTGCATATTCAAGCCCGTCAAAGCTCTAGGCACCACATAAGAGACTCACTACTTTCCGTTCTACTTCCTCCGTTTCTAAATATTTGTCTTTCTAGACATTTCAAATGACTACTACTCCCTCCGGTCCTTTTTACTCTGCATATTAGGTTTGTCTGAAGTCAATCTCATCCAACTTTGACCAAGTTTATATAAACAATTATTGACATTTACATAACAACACCAACATCATTAGATTCATCTCGGAATATATTTTCATATTATATTTATTAGATATTATAGATGCTAATAATTTCTAATATAAATTTGGTCAAACTTAGCTAAGTTTGACTTTCGGCAAATCCAATGTGCAGAGTAAAAAGGACCGGAGGGAGTACATACGGATGTATGTAGACATATTTTAGAGTGTAGATTCACTCATTTTGCTCCGTATGTAGTCACTTGTTGAAATGCCTAGAAAGACAAGTATTTAGGAACGGAGGGAGTATACATCAAGATGTTACAGTTATTGGAGCTAGTTTCATGTATATACCAGCGAAGCTAGACAAGAGAAACAACAATAATACAACTCAAAACAGAGCATCCAGCTCTGCACGGAGCAGTCAATTCCATGGGGATGGGTGCATCAGATTCCGTATAAACAGGCGTAGCTCCTGTCTAATCTTCACATCCCTACTTCATTAAATTTTTATGAACTCTGCTGCATAGTCCGGTCCGCGCACATTGCAATCAGCAGTGTAGTTCAGGAGTTGGAATGGCAACGTTGACATGCACAACAGAATTTTTCCAAATCGGATATCACCAAGCGGACTTGCCTGATACAGATCCTCCAACCTAGCCAGTTCTGTCTGAAAGATAAATGGACTCCTAGAAAGGGTCACCTTACACACGTCTGCGTAGATTGGTAGCAAATTTTCTGCCAAATCTCCAATGTACCCAATTCCATCGCCCAGCAGAGACAACCCCCCTATATTGCTCCTCAGCACCTTGCTCCAGAACCGGGGATTCGGATGAGCTTTCAGCACCCCACCGATGATTTTTGCTCCGAAGAAGGACCCATTTAGCTTCCTCGCAATCACCTTGCCTGCTGCTAGCATCCTTGGGTCCTCCTCGACATCTCTGCCAGCAAACGCGTGTGCCTTGAAGAAGAACCAGTACTCCTGATGCGGCATAACCTTCAGATTGATTGGCTGCACAGTTCCCAAGCTGGCGACATCCCCGTTGTTTGTGGTGATTATGATCCTGCTCCCGAATTTGCCATGTCTCAAGATTGGCAGTAACTCTTCTAGCATCTGTTTTTTGCCCATGTCAACATCTTCAAATACCATCAAGAACCTCTTGGTGAGGCATTTCTCCTTAAGTACATGTAGTGACTCGATGAATTTTTGAGCATCTCCAACTGTGTGTTTGGATCCAAGAACAAACACCGCCTCATCCCGAGCCATTGCTCTGGTGTATGAGAAATTGGAATACAAAATTATTGGGAAGTGGTTGCGCACCCTCTCATCATCGCAGACATGCTGCGCAAGGGTGGTCTTCCCGACTCCCATGCTGCCAACAATCGGGAGCACACCCAGTTTCCCCCCAGTTGATGGACCACCATCATGCAGTAGGAAGTTGATGATCCTCTCTTTCTCGACATGTCGACCGAACATCTGCCCCTCGACAAAGATATTAGTAGCCAAAGGGCGTTGGATCGGCTGACAGTTCTGTAGGAGCATCAGGAACTCCTTGAGATCACCGGATACGACCTCTAAGATCTCTACCACTCTATCTATCTCAGGAACACCAACATCTTGGCGAGACAATAGGCTCTTCACGGCACCTGCCGCTAAGCGCACACGCTTTGCAGGATTAAGCAAGGAGAAAGAGAAAAGTTGTGCAACTACCTTGTCAGCATGCTCATCTTCAAACTCCTCTCTGCATCCGACCGTGTCGAGCAAGTAGCGGCCCTGGTACACACTGTCGCTGAGTTCTGAAAGCCACTCGAGGGTACCGTAGTTTGTGATCTGCCTCCCTTTGGCCTCCTCTACCGCACTGTGAACCTTGACAAGCATATGGCAAATCCTCCGTAGCTTGGCTTCGGTGCACCCTTGGCCTTTGAACCGGCCAGCGAGAAGAGATATCACCCTACCGACCATGTCCCCGACAACCGCCGAGATGATGAGCTCCGCCATGATAAAATCCCCTTGCTTCTGTTTGGATGTGATAGCAATTCTATGGTTCTGAGTGAAACTAGAAGTCAGGGTGAGCACCAATGGTCTCTGTGATGGAGACATACAAGTAGTAGCATGAGAGCGACACCAAAGACTTGAGTGCTGTGAGTCCAGATTACACTGCAAGTCTACAACTTGTGTTTTGCCTCTATGGAAGGGACTGTTGATTGAGATTGCACGACCAGTTAATGTGGTTATACTTTTAACTTTTAAGTATCACGCAGCAGAACAAAAATTATCAGGAACAAATTTTCCTTTTGCCATCACTCATTGGTTGTACAGTATTATATAGAGAAGTATTTTTTTGAATGGTCAAAAAAGTATATTCTGAGTTTGTCTGATGACCGGTGCAGTAAATGGTCCAATATTATCCTTACAGGTACCAAAATGAAGGGATTGTTTTTTTTCTTGCAGTTAGTTCTTACAGGTTTAACACGTGCAGTACATATAATTCAAGCTCAGGTGGTATGGCATATGGTTTTTGCAGTATCTGAAATTGAAAATCCATCAGTGTGCGACCGCATAGAGTGCTATTCTATCAGGTAATTTAGGACACCCTCATGGCCTCATCATTGACAATTTACAAGACCAATTGACAGTGTCCATGTTCTACCTGTGAGAAGCCCGAAGGGAAGATCTTCCAGGCAGGAAAAGAAGGAGAGGAAAGGGATTCCTGCTCTGCTCTACTGAAACTATTGCCGGGCGAATGCGGCAACGGACAGGAGCACACTGCCTCTTTCCTCTGATATCACCAAGGTGAACTTCCTGTATCCATTTTTGTCGGCCCTTCCGGTGCAACAAGTGCTTCTCTGCACTAGCAGTTCCATAGAGATATAAGGTGGACAATCAGTTCTCTTTTAGTTCAGGCATCTATGGGAGTTTCCAGAAACCATTTCCTGTTCATAATTTACTAGCAGAGCATGGGTTTGATTCGGATTCCTGGTATAGTGGCATTGTCTAATCATCTTTCTGAACATATCCATCTTTGCAATGATGGCTTACAGGTTGCTATGACTTGTTAGTGGTAGCATATGCCGCTAGTGCTGTCACAGCTTATTGTGCAGATTTGATATGAGAGATAGCACATTCTGCTAGTGCTGTTACAGTTTCTTGCGCTAATCCTATTCCTCACCTATCCTGCCAGGGGCCAAGTCGAAGGCTCGAGTATAGATTCCCTATGCTCATGTGAATGGCCGGCCCGTAGATCTAAAAGGATCCAAAAAAAGACCGGATATGAGAACAACTAACTTTTTTTGTTGATGGTGCATTGGAAAAGAGTTTATGGGCATTTTTAGTGCACACGAATTCTCTTCAAATATGCGAAAATTAAACCCTACTGTACAGCTTATGTTTTTTTATGCATGATAATACAAACATGATAAAAACTCCCCTCTGTCTCAAAATATAAGTAAGTGTCTCAAACTGTAAGACGTTTTTCTGATACAAAGACAGTATAAAAAAATGTTTTATATTTTGAGACAGAGGGAGTAAAAACAAACCATCTATCCGTTCCCTTCCCGGTTTGTTGGCAACATGGTTCTTTTTCATCTGGAGGATTGTTGAGGCTGTAGGAATTGAACCCCGGAATAAATCTCATTTTTGTGTCAACTTTTTTAGTTTACAGCAAGTTTAAATTCCGCATATTTCCTTTTGTATAGTTGCATTGAAGGGTATTTTAGGCTACTAGCTCCTGGAACCTGCTAAAAATCGACAACTAAATTTGAACCGTCTATTTGAAAGCAGAGGAAAGGGATTCCTGCTCTGCTATGCTCTGCTGAACCATTGCCAGGCGAATGTGCAACAGCACTATATGTAGAGATGTGTAAGGTGGACAACTAGTTCTCTTGCAGTTGAGGCATCTATTTTAGTTTTCAGTAACCATTTCCTGTTGATAACTTTAGTAGCAGAGCATGGATGAGGTTCAGGTCCCTGGTACAGTGGTCTAAGAGCATCTCCAGCCGTTCCAGGGCGCATAAAAAGCGCCCCCTGGGGGCGAGCCGGCGATGCAGTCGGCGTTGGGGGCGGTTTCGCGCTCAGTCGTCGCCCCCAGGCGCCGAAATTGGCCCACTTTTCAGTCCCATTTCGGCGAATAAAGGGTCCATATGGGCGACAATAGGCCCATATTCGACGTGGTTCGCCGTTGTTCGGCGTTCAATTATGCACATAATTTTTTTTATCACACATTTCATCACAAAAATATCAAATACTTCAACAAAATAGTACAACAACAAATAGTTCAATACAAATTATATAGTTCAACAAATAAAAACTCATATTTCATCACACGTCGTGCCCGGCGTCACCCTTGAGCCTCCATAGATGCTCTATCAGATCTTGCTGCAGTTGATGATGCACCTGTGGGTCTCGGATCTCCTGACGTATACTGAGATAGGCAGTCCAGGTTGCCGGTAGCTAGTGATCAACTTCGGTTAGAGGACCCTGCCTGTAGTATGGTTCAGTGTCAAACACCGTGTCTTCTTGCTCGCTCTCGATGATCATGTTCTGCAAGATGACACACCAAGTCATAATCTCCCACATTTGATCTTTCGACCAGGTCTGAGCGGGGTATCGGACAACAGCAAATCGAGATTGGAGCACACCAAATGCCCTTTCGACATCCTTCCCGCAAGCTTCCTGAACCTTCGCAAACCAGGCATTCTTGCCTCCTGGCACAGGGTTTGAGATCGTCTTCACAAATGTTGACCATCTCGGATAGATGCCATCAGCTAGATAGTACCCCTTGTTGTAGTGTCGCCCATTGATCTCGAAGTTCACCGGAGGAGAATGACCTTCAACAAGCTTGGCAAAGACAGGAGAGCACTGCAGCACGTTGATGTCATTGTGAGTTCCATGAATGCCCAAAGAAGGAGTGCCAAATCCAGAGGTCCTGTGTGGCCACCGCCTCAAGCACCACACTGCAACCGCCTTTGGCGCCTTTGTACATCCCCTGCCAAGCAAATGGGCAATTCTTCCATTTCCAATGCATGCAGTCGATGCTTCCAAGCATCCCAGGAAATCCTCTTGCTACATTCTGTGCTACGATCCGAGCAGTGTCTTCCACATTGGGTATTCTCAAGTATTGTGGTCCAAACACTGCCACCACTGCCCGACAGAACTTGTAGAAACACTCTATGCTGGTGGACTCGGCCATGCGCCCATAGTCGTCGAGTGAATCACCGAGAGCTCCATATGCAAGCATCCTCATCGCTGTCGTGCACTTCTGGATGGAGGTGAATCCAAGAGCGTCGGTGCAATCCATCTTGCACTTGAAGTAGTTGTCGAACTCCCGGATGGGATTCACAATCCTGAGGAAGAGCTTTCGGCTCATCCGATAACGGCGCCGAAATGTTTTCTCGCCGTGAAGTGGAGCATCAGCGAAGTAGTCGGAGTAGAGCATGCAGTAGCCTTTGAGACGATGCCGGTTCTTTGCTTTCACCCGCCCAGGCGCCGAGCCACCTCGCCGCGGCTTTTCATTTCTCGCCAGCAACTGGGCGAGGGCGGCGAGCACCATGAGATGCTCTTCTTCCTGGACGTCGGCCTCGGCTTCCTCCTCCAGCAGCGCGGCGAGCGCTTCCTCGTCATCCGAGTCCATCGCCGAGGCAGGCAAATTGCCGAACACCTTGCGCTTGGTGGGCGTGTACCCGCCACTAAACCGCGCCTCCGCGGCCGGAAACGCCCAGCTGCTGTTGGAGGGGCTGCCGCGGTGAAGCGCTGCTATTTTTCCGGCGGGGAATGGCTATCTAGCGGTGTAGGGCGGCGGGCGGCGCCGAGATATAGCTACTGGTGGCCGAGGGCGCGAGGGGTGGGAGGCGAGTCGGGGAAGAAAACCTTGACTTTTCCCCTGACGGTGTGGGCCAGCCACGCTTTTCCCTTGCGCCGGAGCCCCAACTGCTGCCCAGTGCGCCGGGTTCGGCATGTGACCGCCGGGCGGAAAAGGGGCCGAACCGGCGATTTTCGGCGTCCTGAGGGAGCGGCTGGGCCGTTTTTTCGGCGCCGGCGCCGAAAAAGTGGCCTGGGGAGGCCTGTTGGAGGCGCGGCTGGAGATGCTCTAATCATCTTTACTACCCATCTTTGCAACGGTGGCTTACAGGTCACTATGACGACTTGCTAGTGATGAGAGCACATTCTGCCAGTGTTGTCACAACCCATTGTGCTGATCCTATTCGAGAGAAATTTTTTTTGAAACAAAGAAGGTGGCAGGCTGCCGACCTTATATTTCAAAACAGGCCAAAGCCTGATGAAGTAACAAGTATCAGTACAAGTACAGCTTGTTTGGTGCACCAAGGTGCAACATACAAGCAGGCTTAAAGAAGAAAAGAGGAAGGAAGAGGAAGAGGAAGGGAGGGGAGGGGAGAAGGATTACATCATTCGTCTACACACTATGCATCAGCTTTTGTCTCCAAACCTGGAGAACCTCCCTGGTGCGCTGATTTTGAGTTCTGAAACTCCAAAGACGGAGCATGTCTGCTGCATAAAGGCATGTGTATGTTACATACCAGATTTTGGAGTTGAAGACTCTGTCATTCCTAGCATGCCACAAGGCAATAGCACAAGCCGCGAAAGCCACATTCCGTTTGTGCCTGAAACTGATCTGGTGTTGTGCTTGCTCCACAAAAGAAAGAACATTAGTAGCCGAGCAAGCCAGAACGTCCAGCTCCATCTTGCACAGCGTAGTAGTAAGTGATCGATTGACTCAACAGCGGGGCAACTGTCACAATGTGCAAACGGGGCAGCCTCCGACCAGCCTTTCTTTACCATGTTATCCTTAGTGTTTAGGCGGCCACGGAAAGCAAGCCATAGGAAGATTCTGTGCTTGAGGGGGATCACCACATCCCAAACCCAAGTGTGAAAAGTTGTCAAAACCCCTCGGAAGGTGAGTAGCCTATAGAAGTATCCAGTGCAAAGCTGTCCTGAGCTCACAGAAGCAGACCGTTTGTCCTCATGCAGTAAGTTTGGAGCAA